AGACATGTACATGTGTATATGTAATGGTTATCCTGAGTTCTTAGAGTAAAAGATAAAGTGTAATTATTATGTAGTAATTATTATTTTTTATCTTAAAAAATAAAATTAACTTTTGTTTTAATTATAAGTGTTTTGTGTTAGTATTTTAGTACTCTATTTTTAACTAAAAATCAGAATCTATTTTTTAATATAAAATCTCATATTTTTCAAGATAAAAATCATAATTATTAATTAATAATTACTCCTTATTATGTGCCCCAAGACAAACTCTATATGTAAATCTAAAAAATTTGTTTGAAATTAAGAGCAAAACCTTATTTTACTTCCAATTTCTAGTATGCATGAAGTAATTTGGTAGTGCTACAAATTATCTCCATAACATTGTAAGGTACACTGCTCATTTAGTGGAACAACATATGGAAAATAGCTGAAGGAAGCCCTTATCTTAACACATTAGCAACAAGTGACAAATGGCTAAATCGTGAACTTAAAGAATTGGGGGCTTCATTGGGAACTGGTTATAAATTTAAGTGCCCAAAAAAGGTTATTGCCTTTGCAGTGTATCTTTGGATTTTGATTGTTGGGTTTGTTGGGGGCGGTGTTGATTGAGTAAAGAGATTAAGAAGACAGAATCGCTATTTAATTTGGGAAAGCGAACAACGTTTTTTTCTTTAACTTTAGAGCACGTAAACGTGATTGTCTCAAAGAAAGACACATTTCGTGCCAGGTTTAGAAACAACAACGGTCGCAGTTAGATGGAAATCAGATTTCTTTCTTTAATCTTTTTAAAAATAAGGGTTGTTTTAATGTACTTTAAAAGTATGGAGTAACAATATAATAAATAAATTTTTTATAATGAAATTTTATTAAAAATAAAAACTAATTTATAATTTAATAATTATTTAATTAAATTTAAATATATAATAATTATATTAAAATTAATATTAATTTAAAAATTTTTAAAAAAAATTAAGAAAAAAAAATAACTTTAAAAACACAAATTAAAAAACCTTCTAAAATAATTACGCCTATACTTAGCTGGAAAAACAGGCTTGGCAATAAGCTGAGGAGCTGGCCAGGTTTGTTGCGAATGTTGGTTGGAATATTGAAATCGACATTTAAAAACGAATATTCCAAGACTTTGTTGAGGGGTTCCTCAGTCCAAACTCTGAATCAACCTCTAAAAACGCTTAGTCGAAGAGCTGGTCGCAGTCTTTCTAACAACTGCCCCCAACTTTTTGAAAAACTTTATGGTAGGTTACATAAAAATCCGTTCGGTGTTTTTTTTTTTCACTTTAACCCAAGATTTTTGAAATCTTTAATAACTTTAGATTTTTAATTAATTAAATTATCTTTTTTAAAGATAATTTAATATTTTATAATCTAAACTATATCATATTATTGACAAAATCTATTAAATAAGGGTCTTTTTCGCTATACAGAACTCTACTAATAGGATAATTGAAATTTTATACTTTGACATGTAAAATATTTTTATGTAAAAATTTGTTGATAAATACCAAAGTACTTAAGGGTGAAGTTGAGTTTAACAATATCTATTACTCCATCTGTTTCAAGGGCACAAGGTCCATTGGTAAAAATGTGCATGGTCCCAACTCATACTGTGTTCAGTTTAATTTTTTTTAGAATTAATGTAACTCTTAAATTTTTAACCACTTATTTTACAATTTTAACAATTAATGTAACACTTAAAATTTTAAAATAATATTTTAAATATAAAATATATGATTGAAAATTAATAAATTTTTTTTTTCAAATTTACACTGATATAAGTAGATCTCTTATTCTCTACTCATAACACATATTATTAAATGTACAAGAAAAATATAATAATTTGAGACCTAGAGCTGCAAAGTAATTGGGACTGCAATATCTTAACTAAAGAGAGAAGCCCAGGGAATTCCCTTATGAGTTGTTTAAACTGTCCTCTTTAAAAAACTCATAAATTCTTTCACGGGTTTTTCTAATTTATAACCTAAACATATAAATTAAAAGTGTATTAATTATATTATATTATTATTATACATAAAAAAATAAAATTTAATATTAATTTTATCAATTGTTGTTTTTTTTGCCACATAATTTTATTAATTATCTAATTAAAAATATTGACATGATATGATTAATTTTTTATTTTTACATGTAAATTAATGTCTAAACAATATATTTAATACTCTTTTGAGTACAAATTAGACAAAACATGCTTTACCATAATAGAGAATAGAAGAATTTTTTTTTCCTAAGGCAATGAAGAACTGGGTTTCTATATAAAAAATTAGATCTAGAGGGTATATTTACTTCTTCACATTTTGTGATTATTTAAATGAATTCTTAAATTTTTTTCTGAAATAAATATCCTCTTATATTTTTAAATTGAACGAAATTAGTTTTTTTTTTATATTATAATTGAAGTAAATTAATTAAAATTTAACAAATGATGTAATCCTTCGTTATCATTCTATCTTTTTTCTTCCAATATTTGTTAAACTCTTACTGATTTAACATTAATGGGCTCATTTTTCTAATGGAATGATATTTTTTACCTTAGTTTTAAGTTGGTTACTAAAAAAGAATTAACCAATTTCATTTGGTTACTTATAATAAAAATGTTATATTATTAGAAAAATATTAAATTTTGATTAATTTATTTTAACTAAATTATAAAAGGATGAATTTTATTTAATTTAAAAATATAAGAGGCAATTTATTTTATAAAAAAAGTATAGGCGTTCATTTAATAATCACTAAAGATAGAGATAAAATATATCACTTTGACTTATATTATAATAATAATAATAATAATGACGACGACGTGAGAGGCCGGAGGTCCCCAACCTTCAATCATAGGGTCCAATAATGCAACTTTATC